AACCTTGGGTAGCAAGTTTTGTTAGGGCTTCGGTAGGAGTTAGGAGAGTTTCGGTGAGGAGGATGAGAGAGACAGAAGGGGGAAGAGAAGAGAGAAGAGAGAATGTTGGATGGGAATGATTTCATTAATCTGCATGCATGATGCTTACAGCCTACAAGTTATATACTAGGCAGAAGTTGGCAGCTAGTCTAACCAACTCTGCAGTAGTACACGACACCTACAGTACTGTACCTTTAGCAGGAAATGTTCCTTGTACTAATGGTACATTGTTGTAACGGAAATTCAAAAAGAAAAACCCCGATTCCGATTCCACTTCTTCCGGACTCAGCTAGCTCTTGATGCTGTTGGACTTTCTTAACATGTTCAATTGCATGAAGCACGTTTTCTTCTGGACATTTTGCTATTCTATTGGCTCTTCTGTTATTGTTCACTTTTTGTCAAGTCATCAGATTTGTTGTTATCAGCAAACTATTTGAGTTTGTTCTTCTCATTCTGTTTGATCTTGGACAGATAGTTTCACCTACATGGGGATGATAAATACCTGCTTTGCAAAGCCTTTTTCCTAATTTTCAGTCTCCCCTTTTTTTCATTCCTTGATCTGTGCAGGGGTCTACTCAAGATGTTGCTCATTGAATTGCATATCATTGAAATATACATAATTATTGGCTTAACCAAAAATTTTATTCCATAATGTATCTACCGAATATAACTAGGGTTTTAGATTGAATGGTTTTATTTATTACTATTGTATATGCATTTTTATATTTCCTCCCAAATTTTGTCATCCATGTGTGAATGGCACACACTTGATGTGTTGGTTGTGATGTTCTTCTTTTACTATGCACAATAGTATATATTTATTTACTGTCTGGTGCAAGGTCTGTGCTTCAAGTACTTTATGTTATTTGGTAACTATTGAAATTTTGTTCAGGTTATATGCTTCTAATTATTTTGTTTTTGTTTAATTAAATGAAAAGCTCGACTATGAAAGAAGCGGATGTGAGTGGAACAAATTGATTCGCAGTTCTGTTAGTGATTGGAATAAAAATGTCGAAACAATTGTTCAGTGGTCTCCATTCTCTAATGAAGCAGATCTCCTCCGCCAGGTAATTTCTTTTTCATTTAGGTGGAAAACAAGGTAAGTTAATTTTAACTTCTTTCCGGTTCAAGTTATGCTAATAGAATGTAGCAGCATGGTTCCTAAAGGTTTGCAATGTCTAGTCATAGTCAGATTAGGATTGGTTAGAGTCTATGACTACTTTGTAATTCCTTTAAACAGAACGCAACAATCAGTGAAAGAAATTTATAGCAATTTATGCTCTTTTGATTGTATGATGCAATCAAATCTTAGATGTGACTCCAAAGGTTTTCTCTTCTTAGCCGGGATATCTAAGAAATTCTAAAGTTTGTTGCTAGTATTTACTCGCTAAGTAGGCGATTGATCCGGAATTCTCTTTTGTTATATATTAATTCCCTAAAGCTACTAGTAGCATGGGAGTGAATTATCATGGAGACTAGCCACACTTTACCATGATGTTATCTAATTGCTAATTTTTGAGAGCATGACGCGCTTTCCAGGATGTCTTGAAGCTTGATACTAGAGGTGGCTGTTAAAATTATGACAGCTTCAATATTGTCTATTTGAGAATAATATTTTTTTCCTGTATTTTTGTGGTTACATCCTATTTTTATACTTGTTTTTCTATTGTTTTGGTTGGGATATCTATAAATATTATGTACTATGTCTTCAGCATGATGACAAAGAACAAAATCATAGTAATGTTCTATTTTGTTTCTCTACAATCTGGAGAGCTTTTTGTGAAATGAGTATCTAAATATGGATGGCCCTCTCGTCTGATTGAGTCCCTGCTCATGATATGTGTCCTTTGGGATGATTATTTTGCAACTTTAATTTTGGAGCCTCTTTCGCGAATTTGGATTTCTGATAATTCTTCTTGCTCTTTTACTTATTTATAACTTATGTTTGTTCCTCATAGTTCAATCTGATGAGGGATCATGGCACACGCATAATCATCTATAATCTTTGGGAAAATGATGAAGGGATGTTGGAGCTTGATTTCGATGTTGATCCCCATGTATGTATCCAATCTCCACGTTCTTTTGTGGATTATGGTGGTTCCTTCATGATTGAGATGCTAAATTTCTCTTTCAAAAGATTTTTTCTTGAGAGGTTAACTTTTATGGCGTATGGCTGTGTAGGATATCCAACTGAGAGGTGTCAACCGAGATGAGAAGAATATACAAATGGCCAGACAGTTCCCCAACTCGAGGCACTTCCTTACTTACCAGCATTCACTAAGAGTACAATGCTGCTTCTGAGTTTATATATTTGAAATTACTACATTTTGAGCCCTTCATGTGCTTCCCATTGTGTTACAATGAATAATAAGTTATTGTAGATGGATACCTTTAAAAGCAGAGCTAGTGATACCTGTTTGACTTTTTGCTAATTAATTGAGAAATGATTTATTGGAATATTTTTAGCTTCAACTTATCAGATTTTTCTTTTGGAACCATAAATACTTTCCATGTTTATGTCAATTTGTAGTGTTATGCATCAATTCTCTATCTAAGGCTTCCTCCTGGCTTCCGAATCATTCTTCGTGGGAAAGATGTTGATCACCACAACATAGTGAATGATATGATGATGACTCAAAAAGTTACATATCGGCCACAGTCTGCAGTTGATGGAACTCCAAAGGATCCAAATGTAATAGTCAAGCTAATAAGTTCTTTATACTTTTTCTTCTCGGGGACAAAAAGCTTTTATCTGTCCCTTTTCCTCTCCCTGGATCTCTACTCACTGATTGAATGAAACTCTTGTCCTCAGATGTCTGCTACTGTGACTATTGGATTCGTGAAGGATGCTAAATCTCACATTGATGTTCAAGGGTTCAATGTTTACCACAAAAATAGACTCATTAAGGTTTGTTTTGTTTGAAATAATAGCATGCACAATACTAATTGCATTTTCATGTCATTGATCCTTTTCATGGAGATTTTCATTTTGAGCAATTACATTGATTTTGGTATTTGCAATGCGATTGCCAGGCGGCATTAGTGGAAAACAAGCTTTTGTTAAGTTGAATGTTTTATGCATTAGTAATTCCGATTGAGCACAGTGGAATCATCATTGTCATAAGCGATTGAATTATGATTAATCTGATTCATGATGTAACTGTGTTATTGTTGTCTTGACTTGTTCTTGCAATCGTTGCTGTTTTTATGTTTCTACAATTTGTATTGCTGTTTTCTTACGTATGGCCAAGTGGCAGTACACTTTGCAGGCATAATGTCTATTTTCCAGTCCTATGATCGAGACTGTTCCTTTGTTTTTGTTTTGTTTGGTATTTTTGTTTTTCTGCCTGGGGGAGTGGGGTGGCTTACCTGCTGGGTGATTTCCATTTATGGATTATTTGTGATGTGGGATTGTGGGCAATAAAGCAAATTTAGGAATAGCTTTGTAAAACTCATAATCTATTAGTCATGACCAAGATAATAAGTTCATGTAAAACTTGAAATACCAACGAAAATACACTTTGAATAAGCACATGTGCAATTATCCGACTTTAGATTAGGAATCTTATTGTTTACTAGGATTTTATTTATCTGGGGATTCATATCTTTAATAAGCTTTGTTGTCATTTTCAGCCATTTTGGAGGCTGTGGAATGCTGCAGGAAGTGATGGCCGTGGAGTGATAGGTGGTGTTTCTTAATTTCTATGATTATAATTGGCAAAATTGAGTTGTCTTCTGATGTACTTCATTTCTATTTTAGGTGTGCTGGAAGCTAATTTTGTTGAACCAGCGCATGATAAGCAGGGGTTTGAGCGTACTACAGTTCTTGCAAGACTTGAGTCAAGACTAATACAAATGCAAAAAAATTACTGGTTTGTTTTCATGTCTCCTTACAGTATTAACTCTAGGATGTCGGGTCTTCTAGAATCTGTGTTGGTTTTTTGCTTAATTGTCCCAATAATTTTTATTTGTTCATGTAGGAGCTCCAACTGCCACAAGATTGGCTATGCTCCGAGGCGAAATGCAAAAGATCTGCATGAGTTTGAAGATAGAGATATAGAGTCTTCTAGTAATTGGCCCTTTACTCTTTCCTCTGAACATGATATGCTGTTATGTTATTTTTTTCATCTCTCATGCGTGTCTCCACTTCTCTAGAAACCTCTCCACATCATATGCATAAACCTTCTGAATCAAAAAAGAAGAGTACTCCTTCAAGCAGCCAGAAGGGAGTATCAGGTTCAGACAGACCTCATCAGAATAAGAAGCAAATAGGAATAGTTTCTGAAAAATGCGGGAACAGGCTTTCATCCAGCAAAGCCTTCACAAAATCTGGGAGAACAGTAAGCTCTTCTGAGCCGTCATCACCTGATGTGGAGGATGTCAATGATGATGTGCATTTTCGACAACCTGAGAGACAAGCCACTGGCACTAGCAAAATGACATCTCTTAGGGAGTCTTTTGGAAAAGTGTTGCATGTTACACATTCATTTTCGCACTTGGAAAGCACTGGAGCGGAGCAAGGTTGTTCATCTGGTGGAAGAACTCCTGGACAGGTCAGATAATTCTTGTTGAATTTTCTTTTTCTCTGTTTTCCATTTTGATTCTTTTGTTTTTAAGTGAAAACTTCCATTAGCTCCTGTGCTGTATTATTTTGTATGTTGACCTTGTTTTGCTGTGATAAGCAAAATGAAATAACAGTCCTAGTTTCTCTTTTTGCTTATCCAAGCCAGTTTGTGGTTATCGATTATGTGGTATTTCTATGATGTGGTCCTTTCTTTTATTTCTGTGGCTTCATTTTTGTCCATGTAAAAGCACTAATCTTTTGGGTTGAATGGTGGCTACTTGGTTGCATCAATTTTTAATGTTTTGTACTTTAGATTACTACTGATGCATTAATTTTTTGGTTTAACTTGCAGAGTACTGGATGTTCCCGTTCTGCCTCTGATTTACATTCTATAGATCTGTTAAAACAAGAGAACCGAGAATTGAGAGAATTGTAATTTGCTCCATGAGCCTCTAGTCTCATATTTCATGATTGTTCCCATTATTAATAGGTTGTTGCTTTCTTCAGATTGGAGAGAAAGGAGGCAGAGTTTCTACAAGAGTTACAGCATGAGAGAGATCGGTGCAAATCACTTGAGGCAGAGGTTTGTTCTCTGGTCATCTTTCTTTTATTATGAGTTTCTTTTGCTCTTTATTTTCGGATGAGCTGTGTTTTTTGTGATTTATGTGTCTTTGTTTACTGTTTGGCTACTTCTACGTATATGTTCTTGGGTTGAATATGATATGTTTCCCATGCCAGCTTACTAGGTACACTGCATCTGCGATGATATTGTTGTGCATTTCATTTAAAATAAAATATAGTTTTTACTTCAATGAAGCCAGAATCAATTTTTATAGTAAATCTACAACTAGGTCAAAAGGTATTTGTGCTCTGCCTCAAATACTAGTTTTTACTTAATGAAAAATGGCTGGAAAAATTTCTATAGTAAATCTACAAAGACATTAGAGGGCTTTGATACTTTCTCCCCAGATATTAGTTTTTTACCACAATGAAAAATGGCATGAAACAATTTCTATAGTAAAACTCCAACTACATCTATTGGCATTGAGAATTTGCACAGGTAATTCAAATTCAATAAAGTAAAAAGCTTGGCCATGATAAACTTTCATTGTTGTGGTAGACTTACAAATTAATATTAAATTCTAACTCTGCGTGGAAGAGAAGTAGGTTAGTTATTAAATATCAATGTTTTATTTATTAGTTATAGTTACGGAATATCAATATGGGTTCCTTGCACATTATTCAATCATGTTTATGGGCAATTGTTTTATGATATCTTCTTATATGCCCTAAATTACTTCAATCTTTCTTGAATTTAATAAAATTATTTTGTTTTTGTTTACCATATTTTTGTCTAGTGAGTTTTTTATAGACAATGAAATCTTCATATATTTGTACACAGCTTTTCATTTAAAATTTTTCTCATTCCCGGACATGATTTGTTAATAGCTGGAATTGGCAAGACAAAAAATTGAAGACTTGAACAAGGAACAGGAAAGTCTAATTGATATATTCTCAGAGGAGAGGGATCGACGGGACAAGGAGGAGGATAGTTTGAGAAGGAAGCTAAAGGTCTTTCTTTGAGCCATCTTGTCTTTAAAAGGCTCATATTGCATGTCTTATTACTTTTCTCCTCTGTTTAACATTTCCTGGATGGTCAAGTGGTTAACATTCGCTTCTTGTAGGATGCATCTAATACCATTCAAGAAATGTTGGAGAAGGTTAAGCTGTTGGAGAAGATGAAGCCTTGCAATAGCAAGCCAGTGCGGTGAGAGACTTAAAAGTTGTAGATGGGCAGTTTTTTTCCCTCCTGGGTTTTTTTTGCAGCGTCAGCGGCATCTAATTTCTTAGAGATTTCAGAGAAGAAATTTCTTCTACCATAGTTGACCAAATAGAATCAGTCATGTTGTATATTCAGCTAGCATTAGTCGTATTTCTCCTGCCTAGCCCAGTTTCATGGCTGTATTAAGGACAGAATGTTGGTCATATCTTTGTATCTATCCTTAGTTCCAAATTTCCAAATTAGTTGGTATCATTAATTAATTAAATGCAAAGTCAACTAAGTTACTCAATTAAATTAAAGAAAAAGAAAAATTATCTTCCCTTCTTCTAATTCAGCACTATTGACTTAGAAAACTTGGATTCTTTTTTGTGGGTCAGTAGATCAGGTACGTTGGAACAGTGCTTGGAGAATGATTAAGAAGAAAAAGGATCATGCTTGTAACTAAATTGTGTGAGCACGAACTATTAATTATTGTACTCAAAAGTCGTTGAAATTTTCTCTTGTCAAATAACTAAAATGTAATGGATAATAGCTGGTGCTAGCAAGTACATCCTGAAAAAAAGAAGAAGGAAAGAAACTGAGCAACCCAATACAAACCTTCATTAGAATCTATCGAGAGGAAAGTAGCTGATTAACTAACATAAAGTAATTTTGGCCATAAGAATTCACTCTCTGTTTGTGTAAAATACATTAAGATGAATATTGGGTATTACAATTGTATGAACTCTTATTTTAAAATAAGCTTTCTTTTAAGTATGTATTTATTTAAGTACAAAAAATGGTTAGAAATATATTTAAATACTTCATGTGTGATTAATGTTTTTTTTTTGGTTTTTCAAAATAATTTGGTGAGATGTAAGTTACAGAAAGTAGTATAATTCCATTTTTACAAAAATAGAAGTTGATTTTTCTTTACCTTCAGCGGAATAGAGATAAAAAAAAATAATAAATTTTTTTATTATTATTCTCATACTAACTAATTTTATATATTCTCTGTAAATCATGTAACCAATATCTATGATTTTTTAGGACAATAAAAAAGATATTCAAAGTAATAAATAATGTATTTGAATCTCTTAATAGAAAAATATATTAACATTTATGTGGTAATTTTTGTCAATTATTTTTTAGATAAATAATTGGTGCATCAATTTTTTTTTTTATAAAAATTTTGGACTCAAGTAAGTCAAGTGGTGCTCTCATATATGTTTTTGGTTAAAAGTTGTTTTTATTATGTTATAATTAGTATATATTAATCATCTAATTAATGAATTATGCTAGAGTTATTATATTATATTATTATTAATATATATGTATCATGTAATTATCGAATATAAAAATTTAATGTCTTATTAAATTAAAAAAAAAATTATAGATTAGGTACTTAAATATAGAGAACGACTAGGCACTTCAACGTTATTTATTGGCACTTCTTTTTATATTAAATTAGTTGAATTAAAAAATATCCTAAAGTTAATATACTTATAGTTAGAACATTAGTGATAGTATTAAATGTTATGTACAGAATATGGATGACTTTAAAATTTAATTACAATCTCTTAATTCAAGTCTTTTCTTATATTTCTTGGCTCCTAATTTTTAGATTTATTTTTATTCATATCTTGAAATTACTCTACAAAAACATTACTACTGTAAAATCAATTTTAACCACATTAGCGGATCTGTTTAAATCTAATGAAAAAAAAAAAAAAAAAAAAAAAACAAATGTATATGATTGAAATACCAAAACTACCATTCCCATCATCCTCTCTCTCAATTGAAAAAAGTTATTATTTTTCTTTCTGTCCTATGTCACTCACGGTGAAAGTTTTTTTTTTTTTTTTTTTTAGTTAACAAGAGGTGAGCATTGCCACCCTGTTTGAGCATATGGATGCTGGAGACTGCATCATCGATGGTGGTAATAACGATTTCAGCATAAAGAGCACTGGATCTAAAAGGTGATCAATGGTGTAAGGCCAGCAAGCAATAAAGATTTATAGTTATGGTCTGGGGACGAAAGTGTAGAGATGTGGAGAAGAGGGCGAATTTGAATTTGGTTGAGCTGCCAAGTGTATCCGAAAGGTGAGTGTATGTATCATCAGCGTCTGTTGATTTGCACTAATAAAATGCTTTGTGGTTAGAGGAGGAAATAGTGTATAAAAGGTTTTGAAAAATAAAAGAAAGAAAAAAACTGCACATTCCAGTCCAATTTTCACAAATTTTATCTTTTTTTCTTTGTTTTCCATCAAACTTAATCCAACCAGATTTTTACGTAATTCCAAGGCTCGACTCTGAGCCAGAATATTAAAACGGAATAATGATTTCGCAATTTCTCCAGTTTTTGAATCATGTGGCAGATTTCTATTCATTGGTTTTACAATTTAAGCACTTGCTACGGCATGAGCGCCATATCCATTAATTTCTGGGTGGGTAGGCACTAGGCACTCGTGGGTTAGGGTCCCTGCTGCATCTGCAGCCGAAAAGTAGCCGTCTCATAAATCTATATAAACACACATATTCTTATTAATTGGCGCCTGCTCACGTGCATCTAGGAAGGTTCTTGACCAACAGTAGCATACCATTCTCGGTCGACAAATTTTTCTGATTGTTAAAACCCACATCTTAAGTAGTAGAAGTAAGCATTTCCTTTCTTTTGTTGCACAAAAAATAAAAAAAAGGAAAAGAGTAAGCAAATGAAACGTCGAAGACGAGCAAAATTCAAGATATATCGGACAAATGTTTCTCTTTGCATGCCCTAACCAGAAAAAATTACAAACAGGTCGGGGGCACAACCCAATAATCCTCCATCTAGTAGTCATATACTAACTTCCATATACCAAAAAAAGAAGCAGGTATCCCCCAATTCTACCTTGCACTATTGGTCTACAATCAACAGAAACAGCAAAAAGTAGAACTATTGAGGAATTAACATAAAACGTATGGTCTTCAACCAAAAAGAAAAAAGAAAGAACACAAACCATTTATAGGCATCTTCTTTGCCTGTGTAATATCAGTGTTGTGTATATCGTAGTTGAGCGTTGGTATTGTCTTATTACTCAGAATTACGTACAGACTAACGAAGAGACTGAAAGTGGATACATGAATGTATTAGCATACTGAAAGTCCATAGTAGCACCACCGACCAAGGGATTGCCATCATTGACAAGACAGTCATCGTAGCTCAGGCGCTTAAAGATGGTTGGGTTGATGAGGCGAACAGAGCTGAACCAGCCACATTTGAGGTGAATGTTAGAGATATTACAACCAGTCACACACATGTTTACGATCTCAACAGTGTAGGTGGGTATGCCATTAGGGAGGGGCGGTGTGGGTCCCTGGTTTATTCTTAAATCTGACTTGTAACACCTCTCTGTTATTATTCCTTCCGGTTGCTTCATTGGTGTTTCTGAGTCAATGAAGATGGAAGATTAATTTTATGCATTAAGTTTAGACCGTGAAAGGCTGCTAAACATGGGGCAGTAAATAAATGAATGATGTGAACCAGCCAATAAGAAAAAGAAAAAGGAAGTAATATCGATATTAGCGCAGAGGAGAACTAAATTAACCCCAAAAGGCTATTCCAGATGACAGACACGTGTCCATTACTTTTTCAACTCCTTTTCATTTGCAGTGAGATCAAAAAGAAAAACCTCTTTTTCATAGTAAATGTAAATTCGACGAGAGAGACAAACAATAGGGGAACTCAAAAATCTAGGAGTTTAAAAAGAAATTCTTTGATTAAGGTAAAAAATTAGACATCGTCTGGCCGAATAAGATTCCTAATTTTAGCTGGTGGACATTTTGTGACTACTCAAAAGTGCTTTAGTGTTTTTAATAGAAGACCCAAAAATGGTCAAAAAGACCAGACGGGAATGAAAGACGACACGGTGGCACCTAAAAAGCCAATAACAACAGCGCGGTTGTTATCTTGCCTGCAAGGGCGCCAGTTAACAAACGGTGCGCGTTAGTGTAAAACGCAGTGAGAAAAGACAGAGACGTGAACTGCTGACACCAGAACCGTACGATACCTGAGACGCGTGTATAGAATAGGATTAACCCTAAAATAATCCCCATTTGCAGCTTGCAAGAGAGGGAAAGAGATGCAGAATAACCGAACAAATTAAATACACTAAATCAACATACAAAGCACAAAATGGGTATATATTAAATCAGACTGGCCATCCATCTTCAAAATCTGTGCATATGAATGGGTCACATATCTTACCAAGAAGAAGAAGCTTGCGATTCGGTGAAAACTTGTTCCATCCTCCATTTATACCCGGTAAGGTTGGTTCAATGAGAAGATTCTTCTTACCCAGATCTGCGACCAAAAAGAAGAGAGAGCAATAAGAAAACAGCCTGTGATATACGCTTACATTACTATTTTGTCGTTTCCATCTTCAACAAAAGGACAAACAGAAAGGAGACAGGGAATTTTAGGAAACAAAAAGGAATAATATACAAACATGAGGCCCCTCATCATGTACATGAAATAAAGACCATTCATAAAAAAAAAAAGGAGATAGCGATCATCAAATTGATTAATTAAAAACATTGTGAAGAATGTTTTGAATCTGTAGGGACCACTTTCTATATATTATATTATGTATTGCGTATGATTAGAAAAACATTATTATTAAGCAGATGAATGTATGTTTAGCACAGAGTAGTGTACGTAAATGTATAGTTTCACATACCATTGAGGAAGGCAAGAGATATGAGTAGGACGACGACAATAGACGAGGCTAAAGCCACAGCGGATCGCCGATTCATGATAGATGAAAGGAAACCTCCAGGGTCCCAACAGATTTTCTCTACGTTCTTCTGCAGAGAACTCGTAGATTCTCTCGACAGAACCGAAATGCTTACCTCCCTGACCCGCTCCCTTGACACACTGAGTCTGGCTCGCTTGGTGATACGGACTTATTTACAAAGGATCAACACAAGAAAAATAGAAGAGCAGGAAAAGAGAGCTGGAAGAGGAAGATTCAAAGAAGAGAAACCATTAGAAATTCCAGTAACCTCGAGTAACTAAACCCTAACAAAGCCCTAATCATCAAGGCTTCTTCTACCGTAACAAGCAGTGGCATCAAAACGCCGTGGGACGCGAATACTTTTCTCTTCCTCTCTCAATTTCATACAGAAAAATACGAGAACATGCATATATAAGACAGCTAGTTTGAAGGTTTAAATGCGTAGGTACATCACATCATCATCAGTCAAAGAGAAAAACAACTAAAAAAAGAATGAGGGAAGAAGGATCGTCAGATCTGAAAAATTGCGTTTCAGATTTGACCTGTAAAAGAAAGTAAAGCCTATTACGCGTAGGTTTCACGAGGCGAAAAAGCTTAGGCTAGAAATGGCTAAAACGACGGCGATTTGTAGCAGGCCTAAACAACTTGTAGACAATGCATAGAAATGGAAAGAAAATGGAAAAGAAAATGAAAAAGAAAGAAACAAACACAGTGAAACACGGCCCTCTTTAAAATCAAATCAAACCAGATAGACAACATGCGTTGAATTTGAATGGCAATATCTCTGTTGTCTCTCACAAGAGAGGAAGAATGGTTTACATAAGTAGCAGTTTTTGAGAGAAGGGGAAATCGGCAGTGAACTTTATTTTCCAGGGAAAATGATTCAAGTGAAACATTAGCATGGGAAAAGAGAAACTAGCAGCGGAATTTACTGCGCGAGACCAGTGGACAAAGCAGAGAGTACGTAGTACATATACACAGACGCACATAGTGCGCAGAGGGGGAGAGAGAGAGAGAAAGCAAGAAAAACAACTTTAAAGAGACAAAAAAACAGCAGAGAAGATCGGGAGAGCCAGAAATGACAAAACAGTAGAATCCTTAAAGCCGAATGCTGATCAAACGCATTTATTACCAGTTCAAATGTCACATGAAAAACACAACATACATGCACAAAACAGACAAATGCTTACATGCACAAACACGTGTAGGGGGGTGTCTGTAGAGATGTGCTGTATTTGAGAGGGTTTACCTTTTGGAAAGGTTGAATTTGGAGATGAAAAGAGAGAACAATCATCACCGAGATGCGTACGATATACAGGGCGAGAGACCCGAGGGTTGCTAGAGAGAGAGAGAGAGAGAGAGAGGATACAGGTTTAGGGTTGAAGGGTGCAGAGAGAAAAAGAAAGAGTAGAGGTGGAATGTGTAAGGCAGTGTAATGGTGTACATGCGCTGGATATTTAACCATGGTTAAATAGGTGCACGTGGCGAGTTAAGTGATGATGGATACGTTGATTGGCGTTTGGCTTATAATAATTATTTATTAGTCAATTTCATTCTCACGTGTGTGTACTGGTTAATGGTTAAATGCCATCTGTTTTTGTATTTTATTTTATTTTTTATTTAAGTAGGACCAAGGATGGTGTACTTGGGACTTACAAGAAGTTGATGAAATAACTCACCATAAAATGGTTACTTTAGTAATTCGAATTATAATATTTTATCATGTTTTTTTTATTTTTAATTTAGTAGTGAATATGATTTTTAGATTCTATTTTTTATTTTAAAAATTAAAATTGTATTTTGAGACTTGAAAGAAAAAGATGATATAAATTTTATTAATATCAATTGTCAAATTAAATATTAATATCATTAACACTGTACTAATTATCGTCGTTAAAATCAATTTTGATTGATATTAGTAAAATTTTATTTAAAATTAAAATTAATATTAATATTTTTTACAACAAAATATTTAATGTAAAGATTGAATTTTAATATATTTGTACATATTTTAATATTAAAATTTTATATTTTTAAAATACTATATTGATAATATTTTATATAAATTATCAATTTAAATAACACATTGTTTTTGCACATTTATTATGGGTTTATAATTCTATATGGTGAAATATAAACATATTGTTTATTTTTGAGTGAGGTTTCAATACTAAATCAAATATATTAATAGCACCAAGTAAGCAACATGAACCTCTCATTATATAATGTTCAAAATCTGTCTATTAATTTATAAAATTTGACCATAGTCTATGTAGTTATGTATATTGTAAACGTAATTATTTATTCAAAGGATAAAGATATAAATATTTTTTAATTTTTTTATTGGGTAAAATGATCCAAGATTTATGCTTTGCTTTGGTTAAATACCCTTTAAATTGAATTTTCAAAATGAAGTTGGTGTAGGTATGAATGAGATGTTGTGGGCTTAAAAATCAAGCCCTAGCCAAAATGGCTTTTGACCCAACGAAAATACTATCAGATGACGGCCTTGTATCCTTCTAATATAATGTCCGAGTCTGACATGGTGGCTGCCTTCTTAGCTCCAGCTCTCGCCTTCTCTTATCTTTATAGATCAAGGGAAACAGAGAAGACAAGAGAGGCAAACATGGCTACCACTGTTACAGGGTTGGGAGCTGGATTTGGTCTTTCATGTTCTGCGAAGGTTTCTCGTAGAGCTTCCTCTTCTTCAAGATCCTCTTCTTGTTGCGTGATAATGGCTGTTTCCGTTGAAGAGCAAAAAAAATTCACTCTCCAAAAATCTGAAGAAGCTTTCAATGCCGCCAAGGTATGACGACATTCTTGTCATTTACTTTGATTTTCGAATCTGGTCTGCTGCGGCGTATTACTAGAAACTTTTAATCATGAAATTTTTATGCTGATAAATTTGATTGACATATAACTGTGAGGTGATTTCCTATTGGGTTGATTATTTCGTATTTAACTTGTAGGGACAACGTTGGACTAATAAACTGATGTGATGATTTGGGTTTTTCGTTGGGTTGATAAAATTCAGTCAGAAAGCTACTAGAGATGCTATATTTTTTATTTTAGAAAAATAATTATTAAGTGTGGAGATCGAGTTATTCGTCTTATAGAAGTGGAAATCAGTCGAATTTACTCTCTTCGTTTTTATTTGTCAACCCTAGCCTTTTAATTGAATTCAACTTCACATGTCATACTGATCTGCGCCGTTGTGATTATTTAAATGGTGATTATCTTCGATTTAGATTTGTCTGAAGAAATATAGGTTTTGAGTTCATTTGCAAGTAAATAGCGTTTCAAGTCAACAAATTGTCAACTAACAGATTTGATATACTGATTAAAAGTTCTAAACTTTGTACGTGCAATTCTGATTTGTCAGCCGAAATGTAGTTTTAGTGTTCATTTGCTTATGAAAAAAAAATTATTTTCAATTTTAGAATGATTGAGTAACACAAGATGTTGTGTAGAATTTGATGCCTGGAGGTGTAAACTCCCCTGTACGTGCCTTCAAATCTGTTGGTGGACAGCCAATCGTGATTGATTCGGTGAAGGGCTCTCACATGTGGGACATTGATGGCAATGAGTACATTGACTATGTTGGTTCTTGGGGGCCAGCCATAATTGGTCATGCAGACGACGAGGTTGTACTCTTCCCTTCACAAATTGCATCCCATTTGTATTTCCGGACTTAATGTTCCTGCCTCAAATTATGTTCACTGAGAATTGCTACATGTTACTATGGTAGATTATATAGCTTTGCTTCCATGTTTTGTTTTATTGCTCATGCAACAGAAATTTGTAGGTCTATTCATACTTTATTTTATACATTATCTTGAAAGTTGCTGTCTTGTTTTGGAAAATGTAAATTTATTTATTTATTTACAAAATTCCATTTTCGGAAGTGCTGCATCATGTTAAGGTTGAGGAACAGATAATCATGGTTGCTTGACTTTTTCATCACCTGCATGCCAAGTTAAACTACACATGCCATATTTGAATTCATGCTTGCTTGTGATTTCTCGAAATGTTGATTAGAATTGGCGTGGCTCATGTTCTGGAAGAATATCTACCTGCAGGTTCTGTCCGCCCTGGCTGAAACAATGAAGAAAGGGACTAGTTTCGGTGCTCCTTGTCTCTTAGAGAATGTTCTTGCTGAGATGGTGATATCTGCTGTGCCAAGCATTGAAATGGTCCGGTTTGTAAATTCAGGAACAGAAGCATGCATGGGAGTGCTCCGCCTGGCCCGTGCCTTCACTGGTAGAGAAAAGGTGATCAAGTTTGAGGGTTGTTACCATGGACATGCAGATCCATTCCTTGTCAAGGCAGGTAGCGGGGTTGCAACTCTGGGGCTACCTGACTCACCTGGTGTGCCCAAAGAAGCTACCTCTCAGACTCTGACAGCAGCCTTCAATGATATCTCTGCTGTTGAGAAGCTCTTTGAGTCTAATAAAGGAAACATTGCTGCAATTATCCTTGAACCTGTTGTTGGGAACTCTGGCTTCATAGCTCCTAAACTGGGCTTCCTTGATGCCATTCGAAAGATCACAAAAGAAGACGGTGCTCTCCTCATCTTTGATGAAGTCATGACTGGATTTCGCTTGTCATATGGTGGAGCTCAGGAATACTTTGGCATAACACCTGATTTAACAACTCTGGGAAAGATCATTGGTGGTGGTCTTCCAGTTGGTGCTTATGGTGGAAGGAGGGACATCATGGAGATGGTGGCACCAGCAGGACCAATGTACCAGGCTGGAACCTTGAGTGGGAATCCACTGGCAATGACTGCTGGCATACACACCCTGAAACGGCTGAAGGAGCCAGGAACATATGAGTACTTGGATAAGATCACTGGTGAACTTACTCAAGGTATTTTAGATGCTGGCAAGAAGACTGGTCATGCAATCTGTGGAGGATATATAAATGGGATGTTTGGGTTTTTCTTCAGAGAGGGGCCTGTTTACAATTTTGAGGATGCAAAGAAGAGTGACGCTGCTAAATTTGCAAACTTTTATCAAGGAATGTTGAAGGAAGGTGTATACTTGGCACCTTCTCAATTCGAGGCTGGCTTTACAAGCTTGGCACATACTTCTGAAGATATTCAACAGACAATTGCAGCAGCTGAAAAGGTTCTCAGGCAGATTTAGGTGTCTATCCCTGTATCTCATTAGTCATTAGGCTTGAATATTTTCTTTTCATTGCCACTTAGAATTAGCAGATTTTGTACTAGTTTTATCAATATCTCTTGTTATTCAAACACTTTCTGTCTGGGTAATAGTGTTCTAAATGCTGTTTAAGCTTTGTAATTTTTAACTTGTATCCACACCAATGAGTTTATGCATATTGTATTTTAATGGGAATTTGTAAAAAGGGTCATGGGACTTGTTTTTTCTCTTTTCAGCTTACTAATTGTAGCTCGTTAATTATTTATAAGAAATGATTTTCTACTAAAAATTATGAAACTCAATTATAAACTTTAGACTGAACTTATGGTACAATTTGGGTTTGACTGTACGTGAGAAGAACCAAGTAAGGAGAAGAAGCTAGAGGGAGAAGAATAGGAAGGGGAAGAGAACACGAAAATCTGAGAAGGCCTGAAAATTCCTAGGGATCTTTTTCATTAATGATTTCTGTAACCAGATTCCATATATATATATATATATATATATATAATATACATAGAGGGAGGGAGAGAAGTGTGAAGAACAACTGGTAACAGTCGATTCAAGAAAATAAGTGTACCAACTTGTCCAGATCAGCGAAAAGTCCCAATCAATATACCAACTCATCCCACAGCTCCCAGATAAACATGTATGGCCGACAACTGGAATGTAATCGTTCTCCTGATAGAATAGAATCGTCCTTCACTGAAAACCATTAAAACTGCATATATTTTCTGGTTTCTTCCGCGTTAATTGATAGTGAAAATTTGTTGTTTTTCTTGTGTCATTCTTGTGCTTTCCTTGTTTCTCTGTAAAGAGTTGTAGAGTTCTATAAATGTATCACTCCAGTTAACAAATTACTATGAATGAAAACCAAGCAGCTGTGAATTGTCCACCTTTCATATCAACCAAGGCAATCTGTTTTCTTAACTTGGTATCAGAGCTAGAAAATAACAGGAGAGAACAGCAACTCCTCAACCGTCAACCCAATACCTGAAAAAATTCAAACTTTGTTTAACAACTCAATGAGCTCCGTGTGTACTCTGAAACTCAATTACGATAACTACCTCCTTTAGAAAAATTTGGTACTTTCAATCATAAGAGGAAACAAACTCGAAGATTTCCTCACCAGTGCCAAATCAAGTCCACCAGAATACACAGAAAGAATTGTAAAAGGAAGCACTGAAGTCGAAATCATAGTGAATCCAGAATTTGAAGACCGGTTTGCACAAGATCAGATGCTACTGGGTTAGCTTTATAGCTCGATTGAAACAAACATAGCCTCCAAATTGATGGGGCACTCAACATCAAAACTCCTATGGGAATCCAGGATCTCTTCGCAGTAAAAACACGAGCAAATATAATTTATTACAAAAAAAAATTCGTTAAAATGCAAAAGGGTAACTTAAAGATGGAAGAATACCTCAAATCCATCAAAGGAATTGCTGATAACCTTGCTCTATCAGGACACCCTATTACACTGGAAGATCTCACCTCTCAAGTTCTTTCTGGCTTAGATTCCTCTGAATACAACTCACTCGTGTGCCAAATAACGGAAAAAGAAAGCATAAGTTAGGTCGAACTTCAATCTCGATTGCTCAACTATGAAAGACGGTTGGAATAACTCAATATAACAACGGCCGCTCTAAACCTCGAACATTCCTTGGCACATTTTCTAGTTTCAGAAATAACAGAACTCATCAGAACTCACCTTCTCAATCGATTAATAGAGGAGGAGGACGCAACAGCTCCTTTAACAGAAGAGGTATTCATAACACCAAAAGAGGAGTAAGACTCAGTGGTAACTCCAGACGAATCTGCCAAGCGTGTGGCAAAATTGGACACACTACCGTTCATTACTATTATCGCTATGACAACAGCTATATGGGAACCTTCTCAGAAAACTCCCCAAAGGCCTATCAAAGCTCAACCTTTTTGGCCACTCCCGAAGATAACCTTGAAGATCCATTTTGGTATGTTGACAGTAGTGCTAACAATTATGTAACTGGAGATGCAAACATACTGCAGTCGAAACAACAATATGAAGGAAGTGAAAGTCTCATGATTGGAAATGGTGAGAAAATGCCTATCAGATACATTGGTAAGATAAACATTTACACTCCCCGAAACAGAAAATTAACCCTAAACAAAGTGCTACATGTACCAAAAGTCAATAATAATTTACTAAGTATTTCTCAACTTATCTCCTTTAACAATGTTGAAGTTATCTTTAACTCATCCTCTTGTTTTGTGAAAGACAAAGCCATAGGTAAGGTGCTACTTCTAGGGAAGCTTAAAGACGGCTTATACTGCTTGGGCTCCTCAAGAACAACTTCTTTTTATCATCTTTCCTGTCAAGCCTTAATCACTAGCAAAAACAACTAAACCCTTGAATCAAAAACACTGATGTGGCATAGAAGACTCTGACATCCATCTTCAAAAACCTTATCTATCATCTTAAAAATATGTAATGAACCATTTAAGTTCAATGAAAACATCTTTTGTGATGCGTGTCAACTGGGCAAGTCCCATATTCTTTCTTGCTCTCTGTCGTTATCACATGCAAAAACACCCTTTGAAATTTTTCATACCGATGTCTGGGAACCATCTGCTCTCCCTTCATGCTCAGGCCATAGGTACTATGTAATTTTCATTGACGATTACAGTCGATTCACTTGGCTTTATCCACTGAAACAAAAATTAGAAGTTTTTTAGGTCTTTACTCTGTTCAAACACCAAACAGACACCCAGTTTGTAAAGAAAATAAAGTGTCTTCAATCAGACATGGGAGGAGAATTCATTGGCTTGGCCCAAACTCTTTAAAATAATGGAATTAAGATTAGATACTCATGTCCCTATTCATCAGCTCAAAACGGGACGAGCTGAAAGAAAACATCGGCATATAAATAAAACCGGTCTCACTCTCCTTGCCGAGTCGGGTGTGCCATTGAAATATTGCTTTGATGCTTTTGAAACAACCGTATTCTTGATTAATAGAATGCCTACACATCTTGAGTCAGTCCTCGCCACTTCAAAGTTTTAC